GAAAGCATCTGACGGTACTAAGTTGATCAGAGGGTTTAAATAAAGGATCTATAAATAGATTCTAGGTATAGCAATTAGTAGATAACTATAGATAGAAATAGATATAGCAAAGCCTTTAATTAGATAATGACTAAAGTTGTATGTGTAACCAATTGTACTCTCGTTGATATAACAAAGTCAAGAGGTGCCTATTTGGCATCCTAATAATTGAACTGAGAAGTTAATAAATCGTGCCAGACCTCAAAGTAGTCATCTTAATATTTAAAAAAAAAAATTAATTTTGAGATCTGCTATTATATTAATTAAAAAACTCCAGATCAAATATACAATATCTGACAAAAAACTTATAAAATATCAAAAGTATTGTTAAAAATAAAAAATTTAAAATGAAAGTATATTTTTATTTAGTATTAAAATTTACTTCTCAAATATGTATATATAATTCAGTAACTTGTATAGCAAATAAAAAAACTAAAAAATTGTTCAGTAACTGTTTGTACTATTTACAAAATCTTAATTTTTTAAGTAGAATTTGTATATCTATTCAAAAGTAAATATATACAAATTTTTTGTTTTTGTATATTATGTACTAACTATCTAAAATAACTAAAAAAAACTAATAATAATAAGTAAAAAACTTAGAAAATTAAAAATCATCTTAAAAAAGTCTTAGAATCTTAATAAGCTTTTTGAATATAAAAATATACTATTAATTTTTTCAAGTTTATAAACTATTTTATCTCTATTTAATTATTATGATTATTTTTATTAACTTGAAAAAATTAAATAAAAAGGATCTTTTGATACTACTAAATAAAATTAAAATTTATAAAATTTATTTTTTTTTTTTTGCAATTTGGCTATCTCTTCTTTATTTTATTTGAAACTAAATCACTTCAACAAATTTTACAAATTTATATCTATGACTATATAGTTTACCAAAACAAAGGCTAGCTAACTAGGGTTGGGACACAGGAAAATTTTCAGACATACCCCATGGGCATGCTTCTGGTTTTTTTGATTTAGAAGCATGCCTCCAAAATTTTTTATGTGACAACTTTTTACATATATAACTTTTTTGAAAAAGGACATACCTAGGGGCATGCCCAGGAGGCATGCCTAAAAGACATGTCTCGTGCCTTGTATTCCCAACCCTATAGCTAACACTATATTAAACATAAATACTAACATAACTTGCTTTAATAGCACTCAGCTTCCTTTAGAATTTTCAACTTACTGAAGACTTGGTTCTTTAGTTAACAACTAGCAGCTATATATTTATCAAGAAGCAAAAAAACAAAAGAAAAATAAATAAATACTAAACATAAAACAAAAATACTGAGATATAGGAAAATATGATAAAGTATACAAACAAGAAAAGAAAGAGGTAAGAGAGTTATGAAAATGAACACAAAAATTTTTGTCTATTCTAATATTACAATTATAAGCCTATATCAGGCTTGTAAAAATTATATACTATTAGATAAACTAGTCTCTACTCTAAATCTAACTAATTAGTATATCTAAGAAAAAACTTGTAGAAAAAACTTCAACTTGTAATCTAACATATTTCTTTTTTACTAAATAAGATTAAACAGAGAATTGTCTCTATAGTCAACTATTCATCATTAGAAGCTACTTTCTCAAGTTCATTATATAGAGTTTTTATTTCTAACAAATAATATTCAGATTGTAGAGAGGTCAGAGATATATCTTAGAGCATTGTTCATATGTATTATTAATATATTCAAGATATATATATTCACATATTTGTTGTCACCAATCTGATTTGAAAGATAAACAATACTACTAATTTGATGCATATAATATTAATCTTTTAGAGAAGATAAACTAAAACATCTACTTTTTACAAAAAATTTTTTTTAAAAAAAAGTGGTGGGCTAATAAATGTATGTGAGATTCTTCTTGTAAGTTTTACAGTTATATAATCTAGTTTTTAAGCTTTTACTAAACTTGGTAAGAACCTTATTACTTCCTGTTCTTAAAATAACTTTTTTGGTTTAAATACTAAATATTTTGAGAAGTTTGTTAGAAGAAAACTTAACCCCAAAAAAAACTACCAGAAAATATTTGCTCTTCGATATATTATGTTTGACTTAGACTTTGTTAATAACAACCTACTTAACATAGAACTAAGAGTAGTGTCTACTTACTTGCTTTCTTATATGTTTTTACTGTAGTTTGGTTTTATTGTTATTAACCAAGAGATCATTAGAAAAAGTTGATAAAATTTATTTTTAAAAAGAACAAAAATATTATAGAATAAGTTTTTTATTTTTTTATTAGTATTATTATTAGTATTATTATTAGTATTATTATATTATATAGGGTTTTTGCCTTGAAAATCAAGTTAAGGGACATAGTAAATCATATGTTCCATATTTGATTTTCAAGGCAAAGACCCCATATTATTGTATTATTTTGTATATTATTAAGTAATTATATATAACATTAGAAACAAATCAAAAAGTTACTGTTTTTATTATTTTTGCTATTCTAATTATTCTTACTATTTTTAACTATTTTAACTATTTTAACTATTTTAACTAGAGGGTGTGGTGACATAGCAAAGTGGTCAAGTTGTCACCCCCCAAGTGGCAGGTCAAGAGTTCGAATCTCACCGGTAACGAAAATTCGAAAATTCTGCTTGTATTATAGCTAACTGTATTCAACGATCAGTTGGGATAGAATATCTGTAACTACAGTTGCACCAGCAAGACTGGGAGGTCTGGGGCATTCATGTGATATAAAGTTACACAAAGAAATGCAAACCAATAATAGGGCAATACAAAAACAAGATAAGTCCCTGGGCCATGTAAATTCAAAGAACTGCGAATATAGAAGCCCACTTGACAAGTCCCGAATAGAGAGGTAGCACAGATCTTTGATAAAGCTGCTGCAAAGGTTAGATCCAGAAAACAGAATCCATGTGAACTGAACCAAATGAAATATAGAGTATAGGTACACCTATACCAACCAGGCTGCTGCAAATAGGAAAGAGGATCGGGAATCTAGCTAGGGAGCTCCTGCAATTGCAGACAAATCGTGGTGATGGTAGAAGACCTACTAGCCACCCTTTGGGGATACCTGCCTAGGCGCAGAGGAAAAGTACATGGTTACTGGGCCATCTAGCTTGAAAGTCGAGAACCAGGGTTGGGGCTTCTGCTATTGACAAATAGGTAAAATCGCCAATACCAACTAGACCGCTATCGAATTGGAGAAAAATAAGTGATTACATATTGGGCTATCTAGATTGGAAGTTTGGGTAAAGGAAGCTGGATTACTAAAGTATTGGGGATATATTGTGAAGTAAGTTCTGGGGTTTGAGTGAACTTTACAAGGGCAGAAATAGGTTTGGATAGTGGAGTTTAGCCAAACTGGGGTTAAATCATAGAAGAAAGCAAGAGAAAGTTTAAGCTAGAAGAAAAACTATAGGCAAGAACTTCGACCTGATACCACATACACTTCCAGAATAGGCAAACTGAGCTGCAAGTGGTGGACCACGGCTCATGTATATCAAACTAAAGTACAGGCTAGGTGCAGTATAAAGTAGGAATACTGCGGGCTCTGCCAGGTTTACTTCGAGGATAAAAAACCAGAAGTAGGTTATAAAGGTGATGAAGATCTGCTTTAAAGTTCTAAGTCATCATGTGAACATGCGTCAGGGAGACCGGTTCATAAAACTGGAGGAATGGTTGCTGATTGACATAGATATTAAAGTATATAGACGCAGAAGGTTTATATGGGTAGCCCCTAGTGGGTTGCAGGTATGGCAACTAGTGTAGAACTTAGTAATAGGCAGACTACTTAAATAGGCACTCAAAAGGCACAGGTATGACTAGATGTACCCTCCAAATATATATAACACATTTGAAATCAATAAAGTACACTTGACCAAGAGGTCACCTTAATATCAAAAAAAAAAAAAAACTATTTTAACTATTTTAACTATTATTATTATTTTTACTATTTTTACTATTTCTTATTATTTTTATTCATTTTAATAGTTGAAAAAAAGATATATAAATATATTTCTTCTTGCTATCAAATAGACTTAAACAGACTCAATTAGACCCAAATATTTCTTTAATTATAAGAATTCTTTCTTGTAATTAAAATCTTTATACTATAAATAAAATATATCTTTTTTTAACTATATACTTTCTACAAACTGCTTCTAGTAAAGTTATATTCTACTTTCACACCACTAAATTAATACAATAGATTACTATACAGTAGCTGTGTACTATATTACTTGTACTGTATTAAGAAGGCTACAGTTTACTTATAACAATAGTATACTAATATACAGTACAATTTACTAATATTTTAACTATTCTATATATAATATAAATTTTAATATAACTATAATACAAATTTACTAAGAACAAATCTCGAATATAAACTATAGAATATAAAATATTATTTTACAAAACTATTAGTATACTTTTATAAATTTACTTTGTAACAATATAAATCAACCTGATGAAAAAAATAAAAAACCAAAAATTCAAAAAATATTGAAAAGATAATTTTATTATAAAATCTACTCTCACCTTAACTTTACATTAACTCTTACTCTAACTTTAATTAAAAAATCAAAAACATATAACTATACATAACTTTAGACATACCCTATTTTTAGCAAAAAAACTACACAAAAATTTTACAAATAACTTTATAAGTTTTTAAAAAAATTAAAATATCTCAGTAAATTCTTATCCACAACTTTATTTAAAACTCCAAAATTGGTTTACTTAGTAAAATTTTGAGTTTTATATATAGAAACGATTTGCGATTCCTCTATAATTTTTGAATAGCTTTTGGATGTAACTTATTTTGAAAAATATATAGTAATTCTAAATTTCATTTACGTTATACCAAAAATTATCTTAATACATTTAATGCACACATGACAATTTTAAACGTTAAAGGATTTATTTAATACGTAAAACGCATGAATGTTTAATTTCTAAGTATTACTCTTGTCTAAGATATATTTGTTCTTCATCCAATCCTTCCTTCTCCTCTTGTTGCTATTTAAAGAGAAATATCAGTATATAGATATCAATCCGAATAAACATAGTAAAGAATAAAGTGTGGCCCTTCACTCACTAGTAACTTTCTCTGTTCTATAAACCACGAAGGTAAATTTCGCGGCAAAGTGATTAAATCCATATCAAACAATTCAATAAATTGTTCATTAACATAACGAGCCTTGTTACCGGCAAAACTCCGATACTATGTAAATATTTTGATTGTAAAAATTTATACAATGGGAATGAGAATGTAAATGAACTTTTGTTACCTCAACCATAATAGAAGTAAAGTTCCAATTTTGTAATTTTCGTAAGCATCCAATGAATGTTCCAGTTTCATGGATACCTGAACTTTCAAGTAAATAATACATTTAGATAACAATGATACTGTCATCAATGTAAAAAATTAGATATATGAGTGACGCTAGACGAAAATTAGACTTCATACATATAAATTTTATATAAATTTGAAGTCTTAATTTGGCGGCACTCATATTTAATAAATTTAGACATACGTGCACATGACGAGAATCGGATAATTTTCAGCATCCAAAACCATTTCTAACCCATCCTTAATCAATTCTTCACTAACGGGTTGCCAGCCTGGAGTGGGTTTCCAGACCTTTATACCCAAATGAACCTTTTAGATTATATAAATTTAAAAATAAAAACTCGATATGTGTTCCAGTATCTAATTTGTGTTATATTATTATCAATTTTCTTACAAGGGTACCAATTTAATATTGTTTTCCTCCAAAAAGTTGCTTACGGAACGAGTTGGAACTTCGGGAGATAAAAGCAAGATCGTCTTTAATTTGAGATTTTTTATAAAGGGAAGGTGTGGAGGAGATAACATATCTGAGCGATAAAGGCCTTTTTCGACATTTCCAAACTGTTCGGGTGGTGTCAGTACTTTATCCATTTGTTAATTTGTAAATACTTTTAATGCTCGTAAAATACCTCAGATAGATATAGATATAGATAGAATGTCACGGGTAATACTTTGAATTGATCGACCAATCGATTTCCATCAATTAAAAAAAATTTTTTTTTCATAAATATGTCAAAAGTACAGGTAAACCACCTCCCTTCCTCTCTCAAAGTCGCAAGAATTGAAGGTTTGTGTTAATGGTTTCTACTTGTGAACTTATAATTCGTTAAGATAATGAGTATCATTGTAACTTTTTTGTTTGAAAGATGGCAGCTGTGCAGACTTATGGTCGTAAGGTGAGTTTAACCTAGGTCTAAGTAGGTCACTCAGCATTTTTTATAAAAATTTTTTTTTTTTGATTTTTAAAATCATATTGCAATTAATCAATTCAATTAAAGAAAACTGCGACCGCAGTCGCTCATTGTAAACCTGGTAATGGTCTTATAAAGATAAACGGTTCCCCAATCCATTTAGTAGAACCCGAAATTCTTCGTTTCAAAGTTTACGAACCAATTCTCTTATTGGGCCAAGATAAATTCGCGGATGTCGATATTAGAGTCCGTGTTAAAGGTGGTGGTCATACCTCACAGATTTATGCTATTCGTCAAGCAATTGCGAAAGCCATTGTAGCCTATTACCAGAAATACGTTGATGAGGCCAAGAAAAAAGAAATCAAGGAGATTCTTATCAATTATGATAGAACTTTGCTAGTTGCTGATCCTCGTCGTTGTGAGCCAAAGAAATTTGGTGGTGTTGGTGCTCGTGCACGGTATGACATTTTGATGCAACTTTGTTTTAATAGTGTCCTTCGTATCAATTGATTTATTAATTTTTTATTTTTGATATAGTTATCAAAAATCTTACCGTTAATATATCGAAGATTAACGATTGTAATCGATCAAAAACTACTAAGTTTATCCGAATCGATAGATTTGACACAACTAGCTTAGTCTGTTATTATTTCAAAAAATTAATTCTACCAATAATAAACTATAATCTAGAAACACTCGTTGGCCAGCTCATATTTTATGTTTTATTTTGCATAAATAAAAAATATATATATATAACATCGTTGTATAAACGTGATAAACATCGTTACATAATGTTTCTACTAAAAAAAAAAGCTGTCGTTATGTAACGTTCTCAAAGTGGGGCTGATCCAGAATAACGACTGCGGTATGACTTCAGAGACCAAATAAAATAAATCTGACACGGAGAAAGACTTACCCAAAAGTTCATTTGTTCACGATGCACCCTAAATTCATATAAGTTAGCAAACGCATGCAAAATTAACGAGCCCACATACACTTTTAAAGCATTAAATCCAATTCTCCTATCTAAAACATTCGGAGACCCAACGGCAACTCTGACGAATAAGAAAAAAATATTAGCATCTGTGAAATGCTCAAAAACGTTTGTTGTTTTCTTGCCTGCGTCGAAGATACGGAGATCTAATCATTTACATAGTCGACTAAGCCGAATTTTTAAAGAACCAGCTAATTTGCTAATGAAGATAACGAAGAACCATTATTAAGCGCTTATCACGACGAAGATATTCAAAAGCCTTCAATATAATGATAATTCCTTTAAAAAATCATTCACATGAAAATTTCAATTAATACTACTAAAATTCATTCCTTGAATTGAATTCTAGTGGATTTATTTAATCAATTTGTGTTGAGAAATTCTTTTTATCAAAATAATTTCTCATTCTATTTCAAAATAAATAATACTTAGTATTTCAAAATAAATAATACATAAAAAGTCAATACAAATACATTATCGTATATGTTAATCTTTCATGTGAACGATACAAATACATAAGATAATAAACCTTTTTATATCTAAAAATCATGCTCATTTACCAAATGCTCAATAACTTGCCATCCAGCAGCATTTAGCCACTTTCTTCTCACAATTACATGCGTATGAGCCTCTCCCTCAAGTCGTACGAAAACTTTACGCCATGACAAATCTTTATGCCATTCCCTAGCGATTTGTTCTTCTATAGACATATCCATTTCCTCTTCCTCTTTTGGTGGTGGAACATCTTCAGGCTTAACCACCATATCATATACAATTGGTGATGATCCTTTAACAGATCGAGAAAGATAATCTGTTGTAATTTCAAGAGGATTAAGCGAAGTAAAAGCATGTCTCAGATGATCATTTATGGTGCATTTGAATGATAACTCATCATCATATTTGTGAAAATAAAGTGAAGAAGTTCGGAAAGAAACTATCAAATCGTTTGCGATATTTGCATACAATGTACGATTACGGAATTTGGAAATCGCTATATGCGATGGTGACATTAGTCGTGCAAGAGCTAGCAGTAGAGGCTGTTCTTCACCAGTGTCCTCATTTACAGCTCCTTTTGCATTTTCCTGTTCTTCAGTGGATCGAGAAATTAAGGCTAAATCTTTGCCAGTTTGTCCAATTACACCGAATTTAAGTCCAACCTTTATGTACCATGATAGATCAGTAGATCCGAGCCAAGGTGTAGCGATGGTAATGAAATGAATTGGTTGAACATCATTAAAAAATGCACCATTTGTGACACTGTATAGGTACCCTGCCATGAATGCATTTATTAAACCACCCATAGAATGCCCTATTAAAGATATTTTTGAAATCAAAGGCTTGTTTCTAGAATCGTTTGCATTGCTAATATTGTCTCGATCATTATTGTTTAGACTCCATGGCCATTCAACATATTTTAAAAGCTCCATAGCTAATCTTTTGCCACACATTTCAATACCATCTTCAGTACAAGAATGATTCACATCAGACATGAAAAAACCGATCCGATCAGTTTTTCGATCTATGTATTTTTCCTCAAGAGCTTCCTTCAAATATAATTCATCTAGCATAGACCCATGAATTCCATGAGTTAATACTACAAGATGAATATCTCTAGTTGAAAAAGTAGTAAGATCTGGCATCTTAAGGATATCATGCGGTTTTAAAAATTCGTATTTTATTGAGGAAGAATATACAGACGTTGTACCATCCTGACTAACAATCGCTTTTCCATCAAATATTTGAAATTCGTCAATGATGGAAGCCTTTTCAGGTATACAAGCAAATACACTGATATTATATTTGACTTTATTAGAAGAGAACAGAATTTCGCACAATATATCAATCGTCCAATCACCGATACCATTTGAAGGAACTATTAGCTTTAGTTGCCAAGTCTCACCACATTTGATAGCAGGTTTCAAGTTCGGAGTGAAAAGATTATCAGGGTGAAATTTTAGTCTTTTAGCATGTTCAGTTTCAATACATGAAGCCGATATGTTATAAGGGCCACTTAAGACAGCTCCACGGTATAAGATTGGTGTCTCATTAGTAATTTTAACTATAAGGTTTGAAGGAGGCCAAGCAGTACTAGGAGAATGCTCTGTACTATCAAATTGAATTCTATATCGAGATATTTCTCCAACGGTAAGCTCGAAAGAAGAACTCAATAGGGGAATTAAATTTGCCATTTTTTTTTTTTAATTACCATTAATGATATGTTACCGAATTTTTAAGCAGTATATATTTAAACATCTCGAAATTTTCGGGTTAGAAAATAAATTTATATCGCGTTTTTATTTATACGAAGATGCTATGTTGATCATAAAACGTGACTATTGGCCAATAGCGAGACTTAAATTTCAGGATATTCTTAACGTTAATTGCATAGTCCTTACTGGGAATGTTGTCCTGCTTAATCAGGTTAGTTCGTGCTTTGAACCCGCTCGAACACTGTCCCGGAGCTAGGGATGGCAAATGATTTAAAACAGAATGTTTTAAATCAGTTTTATATTGCTTTAAAATGATTTTTTACATGT